ATGCAGGATTGTAAGAAATATACAAGCTGAAAGTGAAACATCTATTCATCTGTTAACTTATTAGTTTGCGAAGCGTGAAGTTTATATATTTGGTTATGAAAGATTGAAAGACAGGGCCCCTGATGAATAAACCTCGTTTAATCCAACTCAAAATAACTTAGAGCCTGATATTTGAGCTTGTCGTTACTCATGCGTTTTGAAATTCCTGAGACTTGATTGACGACTAGGCGAGCCCCCAGCTGAATCCATTGTCACAGTTAAATCGATCAATGAAAGTGTGAAATACGAATCATTTCCGATCAATACTTCAGCTCTTCAGTCCTTTCCGACTCTTTGTGGACGTGGTACTGCAGAGGTTGTTACCACTTTTTGGATTCTGTCTTGTCTCCTTATATCATTGTTACACATTGTACTATTGTTTGCATTACTAAGCGGAGCTGTAATGAGCTTGCTTAATGAGTTTTTGCCTAGTTTATTGATCCCATCAACTGTTGTATGCCGAAATAACCGTCATTCCAGTCGGAAGATACACCAGTTGTCACGTACACTTTTCACAATATCTCTCAAACAAAGCCGGGCTTTACAGCAGTATTACACCGTATACACAAGGGATACCACGCTAAAATGACCGCTCTGTTGAATTACCCGCTCACCCGCTCACAGGTCAGTATTTGCCCACGTGACTTCTCACTGACCAATCAGAGGCCAAAGATTCGCCCACGTGTCAGTTTAACAAATCATATCATTAGTTGAAGCGCACTGTACTCTTGACATACAGTTATTTTACCTTATTACAACCACAATAGATAGACCCCACTACTCCGGTTCTCATTGGCTGGAGCTCATCACGTGACTGGTTGTCATAGAAACACGTGTCACGGTAGGTTATTGTTGGATTGAACACTGGGATGGATGGATCGGCTGCTATCCTGACTGAACCGCCGCCACCGCTATAACTGACACTGAATAAGTTGAATTATTCACACGCCTTATTTGGTGAGCATTATACAATGCAGAGTCTTTATCTTAGTAACCGCAATTACAATCCCATAGCAACAATAATGAGGGGAGTGTATCTATTGAACCATCCAAAATAGAAGATTTATTTTCCTACATAGCCTGTCTATATTTTGTATCTTCATTCACTTGATTGTGAAGCTTGGAGTCCTTCATACCGTTTTGCTTTTCCTCTCGACGCATAGTTAACTTGTTTCATACTGATTATTAACCAGCGTTGCTCACGTGAATATTTTGAATAACCATGACCGTTTAGTTCTTTAATCTCCATTCTTTCAACCCTCCAGTGTGTTTTGCCACCTCCACTACGTCAGCATATATTATATCTGTTGCCATTTTACTGACACCACAACAATATTATGTCGTATCAACTTTAACATAACTTTCCGTGAAAACCGTGAGAGATATTATACCATTGAAACGTTTTGGCTTGGTCGAATACTTTTATAGCTTTTTGGAGCATAAAAATCACAAAATAGATGAATATTGCTGTCTCTTGACACCACTTTAGGATTAGACGGGTTCCTGCAAGTATCATTAATGTAACAGCAATGTTAGTGTCCGCTATGAATATTGAATACCCATCATCTCTAGATCTAGATCTTTTGTTACTCCTGTCTCACTGCACTGTTGCGTAATACCTCAAACACTGTACTACAAGGTAACCTCTTTGTAATCAAGCGTAACATCTAAGATTACACCACTCTGATGAATACTCAACACCTCCCCCCTCATTGTCAGCTCCCTTCAACAACACCTGAACCTAAACGCTAACTTTAGAAGTTGAGGTCGCCCAAAACAAATTAAACGAAACATCCATTAGGCACGCTATTAGAACCTGCTCCCTGATTCATGTAACAGAGCACAGGGACATTTAGGACAATGGGGCCCTGTTTGCATCTAGACTCTCCCTACTACACCCCCTTCTTCTAACTGCCACCAAATGTTTTGACCTTGTCTTTGGGAGAGTCTAGAGCGCGTAATTCAGTTCTAAGTACTTGAATTATAGTTGTTGCTCTACAAGATCCTGCTGTCTCACATGTAAGTGGCGCGCTGGTTATTTGTCGCTGTGTTTTAATACCACGTGTCTACAGCTGCTGATAACACTTTTAATAACATACAGTGGGTAATGATCATACTGATAATGAGATATCATGATTGTTTTCTGATTTAACACCAGGAGAGATTCTTCCAATTCATCTGCCATAGATGATTAGATTTTACAATATCTCCAACTCCCCTTCATCTGTTTCTAGAAATATTAATACGGGTAACATTGACGTGCGAGTAACATCCAATTACCGTGTGCTCAGTATTCACAAACCAGTCAGTTTTAAGCTTGTGAAATTTGTCGTTCGTTTCATTTCAGTTTAACGGTTATTTACATCTTTATTATATCCCAACGGTCCAGTTCTAGTTCTACTCCCAGCGACTTCTGTCTTCAACCTTATTTCATCTTAAAGTTCTCAACGTCTCACCTTGGTGCTAGCAATTAGTGGTTGCAATGAATGCACGCTCCTCCACCGTCAGAACCAGTGCTGCAACTTTCCAGAGTACAATATAGCAGTCACGTGACTAGCTCTCAGCTAGATAGGGGAGGTGCTTGGTCTAATGTACCTCTACTTGTCGGGCCAATTACTCGGGAATTTTTGCTTGCTGGCTCGTAATTGGCGCTTGTAAAGGGGAACGTTACTTTCTTGTCGTTGTTCCTATGGAGACTGAAATAATATCAGTTCGAGAGAGTTAATTCAATCAGAGAATTAGTACTTATATCCAGTAGTATTCCAGGTGTTCTGGGGGAGAGGTGAAGGAACCACGGTATTTGGGAATGAATGTGGGAACCAATAATTTCAGTGATTTAAAGTCGTACAAAGATGTTCTGAGGACAGAGTACTTAAAACCTTTTTTATTTTCTCTGATCGACCTGCTCTTCAAACTAATGCAGTTTTATTGGACCTAATCTGAAACTGTACTGACTATAACTTTTTCTGAATAATGGTGGATATTGCATTACTGATTACTTGTGGTCACTCATTGGTCAAAGTTGGCGAAATTACGATATTTACCTTGAAACTAGCTATAGCCATCTTTTTTTACCGAATACAGCTGAAAAATTTCAACCCAGAGTGCAGTGGAGGATTTGTAGAGTTCTGGCCTATTTCCAGTCGATATTGAGATAGTGATTTTTATAAAACATTCCCGGTCCACACTGTCTTCAAGGCGGTCTTCAGAGCAAGTGAATTAGACAGTTGGCATTAGAACTAGCCGACCAATCCCACAATTGTAGACTGTTAGTGGTCCTAAAGTTTCACGGTAGACTGGAAACCGGTATAAAATTTGTTTCTGTGTTTATCCCACCTTCCTAATTCCTGGATACATTTCTTCTCTTCTGCTAATTTACCCAGGCTTATCTTGAGGCATGAGACTTCTTCTGCGACTCGTGCAAATTTTGTATACCTGAAGGATATAAATTTGCATGAATAAAATTTTATTTTTGCGTCGTGCTTGAAGTTTTAAAGTGAGAATGTTTTGTGAACGCATCAAGTAAGCACTGATAAGCAAGCTATTTATATGCCCTACCTACTTTCATAGAGTTTTCACATGATCTTGTTGGTTTTCTAGCTTGATTCTTCAAAGTATTCCTTGCGAATGTATCGGTTTACGAGATTTAAATTTCTTTTATCCGGCAATCTGCTCCGATAAGAATTCACAAAATTTATCCTATCAGATTTGCATGAAAGCTTGTGGGCAAACCAAACCATTAACTTCACAGTATACCTGACGTTACTGGCTCCACTCACTGTGACCCTCATAACCACGATAACACAGAACCGGGGCCGGAACCGCACGACCACGGCTCTCCCTCTCCCCCAACTGTCCACCACATTCACTGATCTTATTACTGTGGTAAGTGACGGAGCCCTGGAATGTTGCGATCATTCAATCAAGAAGCAGCTCTCCCTCTATCTCTCTCTCTCTCTTTCCCACGATATCACATATAGTACATACCATAGAATATAAGCGGGTACACACCACTCTTAGTTACATACTCTTTGGATAAATAACTTGGCAGGGTGACAAGTCCTGCAAGCAGCTGGTTGCAAAGCATCAGGGTTTTGTGAAATGTTTTAAAGTTATGTAGTGGTGTTACGAAGGAGACGCCTTGCATCCTACCACCACATAATAATAATATTCTTATGGGTGTGACATTGGAGAGATGTGTACACATGATGATGATATGATTGAAGATCTAGACCCTACTTTTACTTTCGAGAACACTTATAATCTATACATTATTATCTTCATGGCTACAGCGGTCACACTCACGGCTATTTTATTATTGGCAGGTAGCGATGCCTCATCTTATGTTTCGTGAATTTTGGGAGACCTGATTATCATTTTTACTGCAATAAAGCATGCCGCAAACGTCATATTCCAGAACGTTTCTGCAACTGCTTTGCTGCAGAATTTTCTGGTCAATCGTCCGGAGCCTGGATAATATTGCCATCCACCCTCACATTGTCATCTACAGTAGATCATAGATATATCTACAGTAGATCATAGGTAGAGTGTGTTATTTGTTTACACGGTCGTAGCCTTGTAAGTCTGCATGTTCAGAAGATCAAAATACTGTGGCCGTCTCCTTGGCAACGTTGGTTGTATCCATTACAAATCCTTATCAGTTCAACAGGTGTCTTTTCCCTCGAGAATTACCATGTTTTGAAAACACCGTGCTAGATGTGTTAAACCGACCAATTTGTTATGAAAAATATCTGTTTATTTTGAAACTTTAGCAGAGTAGTTTTGAAATCCTTGTTTTGGAAATTCCACTATTCGGTATTATTTAGATAAATCTAGATAAAATATAGCGAATCGTAATTTTCGAAAATTAGCCGCTTGAATCCATTAAGATCTTTGTTCTTTCGACATGATGAAACGTCATGTATCTAATTCGCAATTCTAAAATTATTTTCACATTTGTAAATTTGTAGCCATGTTTAGAAAGTTTATAAAGTTAAGGATCTGATACCATTGTTAAGTACACTCCAAGTGGGCGCCTCCCCAGTCCGCACTATCAGAACTACACACACTAACTTAGCCACATTAAACCTCAGCCGGTCAATAACTACACACACAAAGAGAATTATTGTAACACAGAATCTTGTCTCCCCGGGGAATGCGAGGAAAGAATGAGGGAGAGGAGGACACAGGAATTCTATCTAGCTTGTAACGGGTATTGTTTGTAGTGAGGTAACAAGGGTAATTGAGCAGGGAGCGGGTTTATTTAAAGGTTGTGTTTTAGCCTGTTAGTGTGAGACTTGTTATAGTTGGTGAGTCTGAGGAGAACGTTCACTTCACCACAACTTCCCGCTAATTTTCACTTTGTTACGGCAGTTGTGTCGTGAATTGTTTTAGTGAATTGTTTTGTGTTGACACGGGGCTTCATTTCTATAAATATATTATATTCTGGCATATATTATAATAAACATATTTATAGTATGTTATGAATATTATAACTCTATTTATCAAGCGCACAATTAGCAATTAGCATAATTATGCCAGCATAACATTACCACATGATTAGCATGTACTTAGCATGCCATTGTAGTTGAAAAGGTTGAATAAGCAGCCTCCGAGGCAGTGTACGTGAGATGTCAATCTGTGTAACTCTCTACCCCCTCTATCTCTCTCTACCCCTGATCATTGCTCTCCCTATACTCTCTTACTTAATACAATATGTGCGCTTTGTGGGCGGGAATACAGACTCAGGTGGGTGTAGACTCTCATTACATTAAACATCATTCCTTGTAGTCTACGAGAGGAGTTTAGAGCTACATTTTCTCTAAAATCTGGGTCCTATCGCTGAAATGTAAAATCTTAAATTATTCCTGGGAATCTGAGTAAATAAATAGCCTACAAGAAAATATCAATTTAGGAAGGAACCGCTACTCTCTCAACCAAAGAGACATCGTCATTTATCAGAGCTAATCAGGTCAAAGAGATTCATAAACATTTACTTACGGAGCCGGGACTCAGGATACGTTCCGTTGTTTTTCATGAGGGGTTGGTGCCGGTTGGGTGACCTGTAATTCGCTGGATATGCTGGTTTATTTAAGGAATTTGGTATATTTAAACAATTTGTTCTTAGTACTTAGTACTTACCCCTACTTAAATGCTGAAATCCTGCTTTCTGGCGGATTCGTCGTAATTTGTTGCCCATCCAGTTTCTCCAGTGAATGTTTTCGCTAATGTAACTGATTTCCTGATAGTAAACCCAATCCGACTAAACTTTTCTCGAGAGCTTTCCGAAACGTTTGACTAGAAACCAGTGGTTCATTCTGCCGTTATTTCATTTTGTGGACTGAGGTAAAAGCAGCCACCCTTGGCAGTCAGATTACAAGTTGACAAAGGTACATTATACATTGTACATTGTACATTATACATTGTACATTGTACAATGTACCCACATTAGTTCGGGGTGACCCACGTGATAATTACTGAGTTTTGTGGTGATCAATGTGCAGTTATCTAATGTTCTATTAATGTACTCAACACAGATACATCAGAAAACCCCGTTAGGTTGACCTCGGCAAAATCGGAATTATTCAGGAATTCAATTCTCTTGAAAACGTGAGTGATTTAAAGCTGATCTCTCTCAAGTGGAATTTTTGCCGCGTCCAAAACGATTTAACCAATCAACATCAAGCTCTGACATCACGTGACTCTTGAAAACCAATCAGAGCGTCACACTGCCCGAGACCGACCAATGGCTGGAGAGATGATTTAAAATAATTTCCATAAGAGAACCCCTACTCAGCTATCAGATTCACACTCCGGCTCGTAGTTATATCGCTTTGACTCCACCTTCATTAAATGGGGTGCTTAGCAAGGTTTCCACAATTATCAGACCCGTTCAAAGGGAAAGCACAGCCTCTCTCTCCGGCATTTGGTCAGAACATTGCTGGTACTTCTTTAAATATGTTCCTGAGCTTGATGCCGCTGGAAGCTATGTTCTCATGTCAGTTCCTGTTGAGAAATGTCGGAATTTGATAGTGTACTCTCACTTCTATACGTAAGATTTAGTGTAGTAGTACATGCTAATGTACAGCTGATAATCTATTGACTAACTAAATGTATTATGAATTCAAAATGTAGCATGATATGCATGGAGTTCGCAAGATATGTTTACGAGTAGTAAAAGGTAGTTTCTCTAACATGAGAGATCTTTAGATCTAGAGCTTAATTGTAGTAACTAAGTAAGAAATATGCAAGATATTCTGGTAGCTAAATATGCAAGATATGCTGATTGCTGGTCCCTGGATCTACTGCGAATCATTGGTTGCTGGAATATGATGGGATAAGCGTCCAGTGTAACCTTATAATTGTCTCCAGTGTTTACATCTGGTCCTTGTTTTCTATTGGCCCGCGCACATCTGGTCCTCTCTTCCTATTGGTTGAAGCATGTCACGTGGCAGTTATCTGTCTTCTGATTGGTTTGTTATTTGATTCCTTATTTTCCTGCCGTCAGAGAAAATGAATCGGAAATGAAATATCTTGTTTATGGAAATTCATCCGCTTGAAAATTAAAATGTACGGTTATATGTAGTTATATATAGCTTTCAAAAATGTGCACGATGAGTCAGTCTAATTTAGAGCGATGTGAGTTTAACAAAAGTTAATACAATTTCGGACAGTGCATTAGTGTCAGAGTCGTGAAAACGTCGGTAAATCCACAATTGCTTTACAATCAAAGAAGAACTTGTGCAGTTGATTGAAAGAAATGATGATTCAGACTTTTTTGCACGATACAGTTGAGATTGATATTGCATTAACAGTGGACGAGTGGAACTATGTTGTGTTCACCTTTGTGGACAACATGATCCTATGGTTATATCTTATAATAGTAGTAGAAAATTGTGCCCGGAATCAATTGAAATTGCATCTAGAACACTGTATAAGGTATCTACTCGGCATTTCATTTCATAAAACATTACATGTGCTGTCGAACATTGTCCATTTTAATATGAACACATGAATGCAACAGAAAAATTCTCTGTCACCGAGCCAAAAGTTCAGTCAACTTTTTTTGCTCTCAAATCATATTTTTAGTAAGATACTCGATGTGGGCCCGCTTTTTGAAGGATCCGCAATTAATTATGCTGTCATCATTCATTACTTTGATACTACCACTCGATCATTCCTACAAACTTGATATTAAAGTTTGCAACAGACACACGATTCTTTGAAGTCCGCTGTCCTTGCCTGTTTTATCGCAGACCAATTTTTATGGGATACCAAAAAAATTTAAAAGCTACTATGATAGTAGTAGTCATGATATATTTATTTATTTCCATGACAACATTTCATGGCATTAGTGTCGTACTACATCCTCTAAGTTCTACTTTTCGTATTCCTGATACGATTATTCGTGCACAACATTTATAGTCAACACAAACATTGCATAAACTTTATCGTCAGTCCGTTTCCTGACCCTGCACCAATCACAATGTTTATCCTGACAGTTTTTCAACAAAGCAATCCTTGCTGCATGTGTACCTAAACGTAATTCTCATCCTCACAAAAAGCAAACTCCTCAACTCTAATCAACACTTCTAGCAATCTTCAAATTCGATTGCTTTTGATGATTGCCCTATAGATCCTTAGTCTTTTGATATGTTGCATAAAATATAATATTATTCAGAGATATGTATAGGGGCATCCGATAAGTTGGTAATGGTATTAAAGTGCTGCATAGTTGAACTAAAACCGCATACAATTAGACTCCTCTTTGATATCCTCTCAGATTGGGTTTCCGGAATTTGTAAGGCTCAGGTAATTCACGAAAAATCACGGCCAACACAGCAACACCTATGTAAATACTGTAACTCTTGACTAGCTTTGCTTTTTCCCACTAATTTTATTCATCGATATTTCCTTGAATAGTCTTGCTCGATTTTTGGCTCCTGCTTTCACATGGACGATTTTTTTTATGTGAAAGTAATCGAAAAGATCAAACAGAAGTTTTGCTTCTGGAGTGCTTGGCAGTTGTTTCTGACAGTTAAAACTTGAATTCGCACTTTTCTATGTTTTAATTCATACACGCAGCAACCTGCTAAACCGCAAAATTTTATAAACAGCCACGAAAAAAAAAGATTCGTTCGTTTCTCCCAAATCTCCTAAACGATGCACTCGTGTAACCAAAACCAAAACTAACAACAACTCAATTTCCCCTCCACTCCCCAATAAAACCCCTGAACTTGACATGAGTGGTCCCCCGGGTAGTGTGTGTCGTACGTCAGACACCAGCTAATACCATTATATTGTCGGGGAAATCGAGTTTTTAGCGATTATCAGCCTTCTGATCTAATAAGAGATTGAGTTTCAATTTAACTATTATCCGGTTAGAGTGAGAGAGAGAGTAGTACGGATGGTCGGGATGTGGTTGCGATGTACCGCCGCTCAGAACTAGTACTATTTTTAACTGTACTTGCTAGTACTTAACTGTAATATACTGAACTTTATGTAACTTAACTGTACTTGTTTCGCATTTATTTGACAGACTTTGCCATGGTAGGGTGGCGGCTCACCTTTGTTTTAAAAAGACATGCTCCCTACAACACGAACAGTGCAGATAACATATTCTCAAGATAAAAGTGTAGAACCGGAAAGTAAAATTACTATAATATTATTAACATTTCAAACTCCCACTCCCTGTCCCATTACTCATAAGTAAAGCTTACATAAAAGTCAACTGTTACAATAAACTACAGGTTATACAGCTTCCAGCGCAAGTTGTCGCCGGGAATGACTTGTTACCGACTTTAAAAGTGGGGTTAGACATATCACCCTCGGTACATGTCGCGGATAATACGTTATATGGGTTTTAGGAGTTGCTTTCCGTAGAGCTCATGATTCTGTGATGTATCTGAGATGGTTGTGCTGGTAAGAAATTATGATTTGAAGAGGAATACATTATGATTGGCAGTAGATATAGGATTGAAATAATGTTGGGGTTTATGTATAGCGTTCGTGAATTGAAATCATATCGCCGTGAAGTTTCTCAATTTAGTTATTAAAAAAGGCACATCTTTATTACGATCACACTCCCTCACTGCTGAGCCGTCACAAACTTTCTACCTTACCGTTACTGGCCACTACTGCAATTCATTAAATAAGTTGAATTACTTTACTTGCTATTTTGAATATCCAATTCATTTAGTTATTTTAATCACT